GTTAATTAATTAACCTAGTGACACTCTGCCTCTTGATCAGTCAGACATTTACAAAAATTGCTTGGCCAGGCCAAAAGCTTTCCATAAATCTTGTTTTGCTTTGTTTTAGTATTTAATTATGAATAAATGATGGTTGAGTGTGTCTTTGTGTAAAGATTGTGCTCCGATTTGAGCTTTGTGGAGATGCAGCTGTGATTAAATCAATTATATTAATAAATACTCTCTCTTCAGTCAGAATAAGGCCTGATTTTGTAACTTTAGCTAGCTGCAACTATAATTTACATTTAGAAAAGAACACCAATTTATCTTTATATTGACACAAAAAAAGAGTTCATTTTGTGAAAACAGCTACTCTTRGAGAGACATTTTCAGTGGTTGAAGTACCAAAAAGTAAATAAAAAAATAAAACACATAGTGAAACAAAAAGACAAACAGATGTGTTAATATTTATTGTTCTAAAGTGAATAAAACTCACCTTCTAGTTCCTCTTTCTCATAGTGAATGTTCAAGACTGAGCTGGTCCCTCCCTGGTCAACCACCACCTCCTCATCTGCACTCTGACACACATAAAGTTTAATGTCACATGTCAGASGAGTCTTGGTGCAGATAATACACATTCTGTCCAGTGGATAACCTCTGTGTCAACAAGACATATTTTTCCTTTGGAAAAAAAAAAGTATCACCTTTATTTCTGCGTCAGTCCATGAAAAGAAAACAAACAAACTGAAAGGTCATTGTGTCCAGAAATGTTCTGTAATAGGGAGCGTTTCAGATCTTTTGAAGTGGAGTTCTGCATAAATGTCATTATTAAATAATATCTTACCTGTTGTAGGTAAAGTTTTTTGAATTATCTCAATTTGGAGAAACAGAGATTAATTTTCATCAAATTTAGGAGCAAATAGCTGAAGTGAAGCCTGGTCCAAAGTGGACTGTTACAGTCGTACTGTAAAACAATACCTATCTCTATAATAAACATTTTTATAAACTATTTCCCCTTCAGAAGAAGCTACAGACTCCACAACCCAATTAATACTTGGAACAAGCTTTCAGTAAAAATATCTGTTCCCAAAGAATCCGTCATAAAATCACACAAACACACATTAGAGGTGAAGTGAGCATGAGTCACTTGTGTGCCAAGCTCAATTATTCAAATTTCCATCCATCTGTTTGCTTTACCCACTTCACCCCTATGGGTCTCATGGAACTGGTGCCAGTCTCCAGCAGTCAGAGAGGTCACAAGTTCATGGAGGCCACATAGTTACACTCTTACCCACACCTAACCATAATAAACTAACCTGATATCTAATCTGTATTTTAAACCTTTTAAATGTTCATTGTTTGCATTGAAAAACTGCTTCTACAGCCACTGTAGCAACAGTGGGCTTGACAGTGTTTGTGTCTGCAGCTGGGTCTTATTGGGTTTTGTGGGCCACATTCGTTGCTGCATGAGAAGGAGCCCACCGACTGGGACAGCCTTCGGCACTGGGCAGTGGCCGACAAATGTCGACTTCGAAGGAYGCAACCCCTGAATTGAGACACAGCCWACAGCTCTAACTGCTGCTCCACCACGCTGCCCCTATTCAAACTTACTATAATTAAAWGAAAAGGCATGTCCATGTTGCTGCACATGATTTTACTATCCCAGTGACGAGGGTTTCTCAGAAACAGTGCTGTTTGCTCTCGTGAATTGGTTGCTGTGGCCCATGGTCATGTATCTGTCCCATGATAATGAGGGCACTCTGCAGCTGCACCAACCCTGAGCCCACTTTTATCTGCAGCAGAATGTGCAGAGTTTCATTTATGCTTTCTCCAAACTCAAGTTCCCAAAAGATTTAGTAGTGAATTCTAAAACTGTGTTATTTACAGTTTTTAAGAAGAACCTTGAGGTTAAATGAAACATGTGTTTGCTTGGTTTGGGACTGCTTTCTTTTACAAACACAAAGCTCAACGTCGTTGCTTTGGGATTTCAGTTCCCTTCCATGACTGAGCACTTTATTGTCCCGAGACAGTTCTGTCCATTTGCAGAATGAGCCTTAATTCCAGAGACATGCTTTGCCCAACAACTGAATGTGATTTGTGGTTTAATTTACAGCTTATAAAGGAGATGAAAATGTGGGGATTGGATGCATGCATACTGTARCTCTGCACTGTGCAACAAATTTAAATAAAGTGAAACTCCACAGCTGACTGCAGAAAACAGAAAATTGTTCATGTGAAAGTAGTTTCACACAGGCTGATAAATTTGTATACTTCATAGATTTTAAATCTGTTTCTTTATTTAGATTTTGTAGAGCCTTTTTCATTTCCTTTTTTTAAACTTTATTTCTGGCATATATTTATTTAGTGAAGGGAAACGTTTTTTCCATTGTCTCGCTGCTGATACTGCTAAAACCWGACTGTAAATCTCAGAGAACTCTATGTAATTCCGTGAGACAGAACTAGAAGAAGGCACAGATCTGAGGAGGAATGTTTCAACAAAAGACTTTTTCCTCTTAAGAAGAAGAGWGAAAATGTTTAAACAGTTTCTATATTTGGATTATTCTGATCATGACTGCAGCTGATGGTTCCGCTTTGCCAGCATTAAAAAAGATTTGTTTGACAGCACTAATAAGATTGACCGATACACAAAAACTATGGGAAAGTCTAAGGAACTATGTAAAAACCACGGAGAGGAAGTTGGTGGATTTTCAGAAACAATCCAGGAACCACAGAAACCAAAGCCTGCCATGAACTGGAAACTGCCGGAACTCCAGTGTGAGTGTCCAAAAGGGAAGAGAGGGGGGAAAGAAGCCCCTGACCTAAAACTAAAACACCTTCCAGAACAATTAAAATGTGCAGCTGCTCACATGGTCAAGCTAAACGTCTCCTGAAGAAAAACTTGATGGACAGACGAGACAATGATTGACTTGTTTGGACACAACGAGAAGAAGTAATTTAGGAGAATGTAAAGTGAGGTTTTCAAACCTAAAAATACTGCACTAACTGTTAAGCATGGTGGTGGTAACATCATGCTGTGGAACTGATCAATTGCGAGAATGGAATAATGAAGAATAAGATCTAACCTCATATTCTTCAGGTTCAGCTCAGATTTGGTCAGTATCTGAAGAACTTGGACACTTGGACAATTCCAGTTGTGTTTTYGTAGCAACCTCAACGTTTTACTGGCTGACCCATGACCTCGCTTCACCCGTAAGAGTCGCGCTCCTCTAGTCGTGACTACGAAATGGTCTATTAAGTGTTCCAACGYGACAAGAAATTCAAACACACGTCAGAACTGCTTTCTGAATAGATCATTTATTTATTTTATTTAGTTACTTTTATGTAACCYGGCAAATTTTAGTCTAACAGATTCTGGAATGACCTTCTCAAAGCTCTGACCTCCGGCCCAGGCTCACCATGGACAATGTGGCGCCCTAGGCAAGAACTCAGGTGAAGCCCTCTGTGCRGTTTTCTAAATCTCACTGTCAGTTTACGTACCATCACATACCAAATTTAATACTTTTGTCTTTGATGTTAAAAACCAGGTTGTCTAATTAAAATAGTTTATAATTAAWTAGAAACAGAATACCAGAAGTCTACTTCATGCCTGCCAACATCTGGTGACAGCAACAAGGAACACCTGTTCATGTTAACGAGCAGTTGTGGAGTGAAGCAGTTCTAAAGGGGTCCAGGGGTATTCTCGTCTGGAAATCTTTGTAAAAGATCTTCTCCAAACGCTGTATTTTTCAGACACTTGAAGAGCATTTTAATAAAACAACATAAAATAAGTAATTTATGAAGGTAGAACAAAACACGACTTTAACCTGAACTTTATCTGAGATCATAACTGAAACTTCCATTRCTCTTATTTTCACACTCAGCACCAGTATTGAGTCTTGACTGCATCATGTGATACTTTTATCATGAAATATCCTTTGCAMCATATAACACCTCATGTAAGCAGTTGAAAAACCACAGAACAAGTTACCTTCATTTGAGTAACCAGTGATTATTCTACACACTAGATCAACCATACTCTTATAAAAAATTATAAAACATTTATTTTTGTCTCTCATTTGTGGCACCCGCTGATGGCGCCCAAAGCAAAAAGTGTGGTTGGGGTGCCATTTTATTAGGAACTTTGAGAAAAATAAAATCCACTAACAACAAACTTGTGAACCTAATTTTTTTCTTAAAACACATTGAAAGCTGTATAATCTAGAAACAAAACAGTTTAGATAAATCATTATAAGCCCTACATTTATGTGACATTTAAAATGATGGTTGTATGTAAATTTCTGACCCCAGCTTTATGGTGTCCCAGACAAGTCTTTCTCACCCGTTGCATGTAGACAAACACACTCCARTKTTATYAGTTGTTGCAGCTTTGTAGATGAAYTTGTGTTTGTGTCTTTGGGCTCAGACTGGGTGCATTTGAACTGGATCTTTTGGATCTTTACAAAATGAAAGACACTCAGCAAGAGTAAAAGGATGAAAGAGCAACTCTAAAAGCTCTTTGTCCCAGAAAGGGTAGCAGACTATCAGATCAGATCAATTTGGATCCATCTAGTCCACATTTACAGAGACAGACAGAAATCARTTAACGTAAAGATGGCCATAATTACAAATTACGTAAACATAGTTATAGTTAGAAATAAAGCATGAGGGTCAGATTACACTAAATTTAATTCTTGCCTTACACCAGTCACAGTTCAGTGACCTCATCTTTTTAATGGAAAATTCATGCAGGTCTTTGTTTTTGAATGGGTTGATGGTTCCCTGTCATTCACATCTCACCTCCGCCGTGTCACATTAAGCACCCAGGCTAATTAAAAGCTCAAAGTTYTGTTTGCTCTCTGTGACTGAACACATCTGTGACCACCCAGCGTGCACACTGGCACAGGTTTTTTCTTTTTCCCCACTAAAACATCATTTGCATGTTGTCACCAGATTGTATCACCTGGCAACAGATCTCGTCCTCTGGCTCAGTGTGATTATCAGCATTCAGGTGAGTCTATGACTCAGTCATTTTCCACACGGATCAGTGTGTCTGTGCCACAGCATCGCTCCTCTGCTGGATCCCAAAATGGCCGCATGTCCTTGCAGCTCCATCCTTCATGGGCAGATCAGAGGGTAACCAGCTGTGGCATACCCACACAGGGGCAGCCAGAGAAGAAGCACATGTTGCTGATAAAACTGCTGAAACTCTGACGTGAATTAGAGGAGACAGAACTTAGGAGCATTGTGTTCATTACAAAGACATGACAAAGCCTCATTTAGAAGCACATCACAAGTATTTGGAGCTTAAAATACTTTGTTCTGTTCACAAGATTGTTCCAAAAACAGCAACCTTTTTTTGTTTTATTTTTGTCTCAACTTTATTTYAATCTCACGTGGGTTTTAGTGAATGAATTCATTGAATTAGTTGCTGTACAGCAGCAAGATTCTGGACTTTATTTCTTTTGTGCACTAATAATATTTCTTTGTAAATTTATACTGTCTGAAGACATCACATCACACATCAACTCTAGTACATTTTGGTAATGAGACTAAACAAATTAAATTAACCTTTACATTA